CAAATCCTGCAATGCGAATGACCATTTGGTTTTCTTTCCCCCTTCCTTGGCCTTATATCTGCGCGCATCGATTAGCAGCATAACTTTTGAATGGGAGTATATATTCCACGCAATGCAGCTTTCTCCCCTACGAAGAAACGAAGTAAATATTTACAAAACAGTCAGATGTTTTTAAAATCTCATACGATGTGCTTGCTAAACAAATATTAGAACGAAAGTTGTGCTGTTTTTCAAAACGATACGATAAACAAATTGCATTCCATCTCTGGCTCACGAGAACTTTCCATAGGTGGGCCTCACTAAATATCGCCCAAGGTTGTTGACCACCATGTTGTGAAATGTCCCACTTAGTGCAACGCTTCTAGCATGATTTATATACCAGATTTTCTGCTTTCTAGTACAACAGAACTCTTCCTTTAAATTTGTACACTTTACTCAACAAGAATGCATTTATAGCATTCAATAATGAGATAATAAGACCATACCTTTTAGCTTTTAAAAGCAAACAATGTACTGTACAAAACTTTACAAATATTTTCGCAGTCAAAATGTCGTTAAAATTGACATTTAATCCAATTGACATTCACTGTACCAACTGGAGGAATATTTGGAGAATGGCCCTTTTGTATATACGCTTAATAAATGCATGCATGCCTAGTATCTTTGGCCTATACGCAGTTGAACATAAAGTAAGCACAACCCATAACTTTATACAGACTCACTAGATTAAGTCATTCCATCCTGTTTGGATGACTGAGTTTACTGAATGCCAATAGCACTTCCATCATCATGTTGAAAAATGTATTAATTCTTTCCCATGAATATAGTATTTCATGTTTCGTATAATCCTTCTGGATAATCCTCTGGATTAGTGGATTATTTGTGTTTCCTGGCTGAGGGTACATCAGTGCAAGGTCATATCATAGAGAGATCTTCTAGTCTCTTGTAAACATAAAATATTCTTAGATGTTAGTTAAATACAGAGGTAGATAAATAGATGTTCTTTAATGTTGCATGCAGGTTATGATTTCGTACAGAACATTTATATTCTAAGACGCTTGGATGGCAGAATTGTCAGAGCCCTTTCTCAGATCGTAGCGGACTTATGACACTTTTGTGAAGAGTTTACCGCGGGCATGCAGATAGCGGTGGTATAGGAGTCTTGAGTGGCAGCCAGTTAGGAAAAGCCTGAGCCTTTGACTCGACCAGGTCGAGCTGCGTCCTCAGCTCAGCTTTAGAACTGAAAATACGCGGAGTGATTATAACTAGAGAATACTTATGATTTAAATGTGGTTTACAGGTATAAACTATTATAAACTGGCCGTTGGGAAAGATCGTGACTCTATTGTTACGACCACATAGAAACCAGGCTTAGGAAATAAGTGCAAAGCTGATTTGTGATGGTGGTAATGGTGGTCTGTCCAGGGAATCATTCAGCCTTTAATCCACTCTAAACACTACGTGACCTGATAAGCCATCATGTTTGAAAAGGATTTCGATTTTTCCTATATTGTTGTAATTCAAACTGTTGAAATATAAAGCCAATTAAGAATTACTTTCGAGTGAACCTGCTAGTGTTTAATTATACAAACCATGCCCGAAGTCATAACATAATCTACGAAATCAAAGCACAAACAAATAAACACTTTAATACTCTTGAAAAAAAGCAAACATATAATTAAGACAGTGCTATCGGAATAATCTACATGACAGCTGATCAAAACATAAGATTACTATATCTTTAAGACCTTAAAAACTCTGGTATCTATTCTATTGTTTTTGTAAGGTTTTGGAACACGTTTAGATCTATGAACACTACTATTGTGTGTTAGGAAGAAGTTTATGAGATAACCAATGTTGTTTAATGGTGTTTTATTTCTAAATTTTGACCAGCTGTTGATGATATTTGGGTGAATAAATTGATTTGATTGTAGCCAATGGCGCACAGTTTGTGGTCTGAGCGTCACACTATGAAAGGCTATATTTGTTTTGATTCTGACTGGGGAGAGCTCGGTTAATAGCGCGCATTGTTGGGACAACATTTAGCTGTGTTGTTGATGGACACGAATTGTTTCAATTAAGAACCCAAATTGTTACATAGAAATGTCCCAAAGGAAAGATACCGCATTTTGCCAGGGGGAGACGCACATGCAAAGCTGCTTCGCTTTGAAAACATCATCAGTGCGAACCATCTAGTTTTCTACTTGCCTGGTGTGGCAAAACGTGGAGACGACCCCTAATTTTACAACACATTTTTTGCTCATCTACAGTAATATTGATTGTCCAAAATTTTTTCCAGATAAATGGAATAAACAGTTGGTACATAAATCAACACTGTTAGCGCTTAAACATTCATTACACTTTGCGATAACGAAAAATGAACAATTTTAACGTTTGCCTGTTTGGTGTTGACAGTAAACGAGACGATTTCAATGAAACACTGGTTTTATCATCTGATTAATTAAGGGATTATGTTGGTATCACAGTACTTAGTTCATGGGCCTTTTATTTAGGGTTTCATTCCTGTAATATGCAGATGTTCCATGTGAGCATAGTGTTCGATTATTTTCTCTAAATAATGTGGTTTCCTCAGTTGTAGACAAGTATTGCTGAAACAAGGAATGATGATCCTTACTGGACCTCTAGGGAGAACAGTTTACACTGACTGATATAGAGCTATCCAGTTTAACTCAACCCAAGCTACGCCAGGCGAGTCATGACAAAACTACTTGATCATGATGGAATTTGTACTTTATCTGAACTGACAAATGCCCCACCCCCCTTTCACTACACAAGGAGGAAACCACCTATAGTATCTACTCATTTGGAGTCTAAACATTTAACAAAGCCACCTCCTATCCACCGCACAGCAAGCAGTAAACACAGTCATCAATATAACCACACCATATACACACATCATGAAACATTCCGCTCACACCATGTATGCAAGCGATCTGATTCTTGCTCGATTAAAATGTTAATTAACTAAATTGCACCCCGCCTCTTGGAGAGAACTTAAAACAGCGAAACACGCACAGGAGTAAAACATTTAAAACTGTTAAAACGTCGGGAGAGCGACTCGCAAGAGAGCAAGGCAAAATCTAGATTGTTCTAGCAGAAGTTGTGGAAATTGGTAATCTCTGCCCTTTTAGCTGTTAGCTTTTTGGTTGGAGAAGCTTGCTTGCTGGTATTTTCGCGTACTATTTTGCCACGAATTGTGACAGATCAAACGGATTAACAAAGTCTCCGGCTGGGGCACGACTATAGTGAAGATCGATACTAAAACACAAAAGCTGGATTTTTCTGGCAGAAAACGAGACAAAGACTTGAGTTAATGTTACCATTTACAGCTTCGAACTTCAGCAAAGGTGTTATTTTGGATTACCACTTGCTCTATTTCACATAACTTGAAACAGTAAAGACTAAAGTAAAAACAACAGTAAAGTCTTGGCAATTGTTAATTGGCCGACACCAAATCCAAGAAAGCGACGACGCGCATTCAAATAAAGCTATACTGGAGAATATTTTGGCTAGATGATCGGATTTTGAACTTTTTATGTAAAAGCTGTATACTTTGCAGATCGAATGCACTGAAAAGCGGTCGATTTTCTAACCACAAGCTGGAGAAATTTGAACTTTTTAATTTGTCGGTAACGGTAAACGAGTAATAAACGCAGACACAATTGAATCGCGGTTAGCAGAATAAAAAGACAATTAGCTGTTCGTTTTTTACATTTCCTCACGAAGTACAAATATAGTCAACGAACCTAGCCGGAGGTCCTGTGTTGATTCGAGTTATCTTATTGCATACCAATTGCAATAGTTAAATATCATTCATCCATCATCTGGGGCATATAACATTTAGTTATAGAAGTTAATTGCTGACGTCGATTTGAACGTCAAAACAACCAACCGTTTAACGTGAAAGGATTGGTATTATAGTGCTGTTCAAGAACCGATAAAGAATTCTAGAAATACATTTACTCAGAAGGAAATAAGAATATGTCGAACTAATCTGTAAGTATCCTATTTAAATTCAAGCCATCTGGATTTTTGTATATTACTTTTAAATTTGACATTGATAGGGTGAAATTTTTTTTGAGGAGGGGTACAGCTTACTAGTTCTCTAGAAAGAACAGTTTAGAAATGATAGAGCTATCCAGTATAAATATCATTATTTACAAGCCGAGATATTTTTACATTTAGGCATTGTTTAATAGGTTTTGTCGGAACGCAAAATATTTTAATTAGGGTTAACCGTGAATGAGTTGCAGAGGTTTGTATGTTTTCAACAGTAGAACAAAAAACGTCAATGGGAATTATGAGCTCATATTGTGTTGAAAAAGTTTGAATCAAAACGTAAGACGAAAGTCTAGCCTGCTGATGAATGAATACCGGCGATGTACTTTTTGGGGGCTATTCAGCTGTTGTTTTGTTTCTAAACTTACTCTAATTCTCCAAGTCTCGGATTCAATTTCAATTTTTCCCAATGCAAAACGTATCGTTTGGATGCGCAATTCTGAATTGACGCACAACAACCTAGGCGGTGAGTTGTGTGTTTGATTTACACAGTACAACTCAAGTTGTAAGCAGGTTGCATGCGACAGTTTTAGGCAAAAGCGGTTGTGTAGTGTCGTAGGCACGTTATGTGCTTGATATATACAGTACATTTAGTACAACTCAAGTTGTAAGCAGGTTACATGCGATAGTTTTAGGTAAAAGTTGTGTAGTGTCGTAGGCAAATTGTGTGCTTGATTTACAGAGTAGCAACTCAAATTGTAAGCAGGTTGCATACGACAGTTTTAGGCAAAAGTTGTGTAGTGTAAATAGTGGACTTTCAGATGTATCAAAATTTTAAACTTTTGTCTGCAATACAATACCCCCCCCCCCCTTGCTCTTCGCGACGCCCTGATCTTATTCAGAACATCTTTTCCATTATATTTTAGATCGAGTCTCACAAGAAGCTATTAAACCTGAACCGCAAAAATCAAATCACAAAAATGAACGTCCACGAACTGAACAGCACTGGACTAATATTTTCAGAAAAACACCCCCCGGCTTCTTTCCAATTCCAAGAACCAGAAGCGATGAAATTTGCGCGAATTATCTTGGAAATTTGTATTGGGATATTTGGAATTTGTGGCAACCTTCTCGTATGCGTTTCCATAGTAACAAGCAAGCGTCTTCATACAGTTGGGAACATATTTATATTTAGTCTCTCCGTTGCGGACTTGGGCGTGCTTTTGATCTGTCTACCGCTGGTCATATTGAACGCGGATTTTCATTACTCGTGGCCATTCGGAGATATCGGTTGCAAGATACTGCTCCCTCTGACGGATGTGTTTTATGGGGTCTCGATTGGCTCCATCGTCGGGATCTCATTTCATCGTTACCGAATGATTGTCCATTGTATGAGTCGTCAGCTAACGGCCACTAAAGCAAAACTCATGGTTGCTTTGATATGGGTGAGATTTTCTTTACTCTACATGACTCCTTTATACCACTCCCCAATCTCGTACCTAGAGCATGCCCGTTCGCAGGTTAATTACCTCTAACCTGCGAACGGGCAGACTTTGGCAGAGTATCTTACAACTCTGTCACGGGCAATATCAGTTGACTGGGTAGAATTTGTCCTCTACTCCGGTGGCTTGTGGAAAGAGTGTTTCCAGTTTGACTCTACCAAGCACCGCAGCTTTTCTCTGGGCATTCCAGTTTCACAATATGAGATAGGCCTTTACTCGACCTCTAGGGCGAGTAGTTTAGAACTGATAGAGCTATCCAGTATAAATAAAGTTAGTTTAGTCAAGGTTTCCTCCTGTAGTAACACCGGATCAATAAGAGATGATCCTTACTGGACCTCTAGGAAGAACAGTTTAGAACTGATGAAGCTATCCAGTATAAATAAATTTAGTTTAGTATGGATAAACACAGACTAACTTTTCAAACCATCTTTTTTTAGGTTCTTTCCTACATTCTGTTCGTTCTTCCGCTTCATTTTGTGGTGGAACTGAAACCCATGAACGGGAAGATAGGTTTCCTCCTGTAGTAACACTGGATCAATAAGAGATGATCCTTACTGGATCTCTAGGAAGAACAGTTTAGAACTGATAGAGCTTTCCAGTATCAATAAAGTTAGTTTAGTTTAGGTTTACTCCTGTAGTAACACTGGATCAATTCAATAAGAGATGTTCCTTACTGGACATCTAGGGAGAACAGTTTAGAACTGATGAAGCTATCCAGTATAAATAAATTTAGTTTAGTATGGATAAACACAGACTAACTTTTCAAACCATCTTTTTTTAGGTTCTTTCCTACATTCTGTTCGTTCTTCCGCTTCATTTTGTGGTGGAACTGAAACCCATGAACGGGAAGAAAACCTGCCAGGCAATCTGGCCACGACCGATACACCGTCAGCTTCATGTCGTCTTCGTCACCACTCTATTCTACATCCTACCTTTGGCCATAATATTGAGCACTTATTTACGAATTCGTCGAAAACTGAGCGCAGATTCTTTCCTCAATTCGCAAATACGTCAAGATCCGACAAGCACGGTCAAAAAACGGTTAGAACAAAACAAGAAAGCGTTGCGAATTCTCACTCCTGTTGTCGTAGCGTTCACTCTTCTGATGTTTCCTATAAACGCAATCCGACTCGCTGCAGCTTTTGGGAAAAACTTGCATTTAAATTTCGCCTATCTTCGGCTAGTCTACAATATTACTGTGTTATTATTGCTTGCGAATAGCTCAATCAATTGTATCATCTACGCAATAGTCAACAAAGACTTTCGGAACGAGTTTAAGCGAGTGCTCTGTTGTGCGTGCTTAAAACGTATCTACACTCCGACAAAGCCACGGCCAAGGTTTTATTCGTTGTACTCAACTACCGACCCCAAAACCGTGCAGGAAATGTTATCTGAAGATGTGGATTCGGCGGTATTTAAGGACGAAGAAAACGAAGGGATGCAAAAGACTGGACGAATGGCGAGGCTGTTGAAGAAACTAAGTCGTTTCGAAGTTAGGAATTTAATGGAGGACACCGATTATGCAGATACTGTACATTACTGCACATATGGAGAAAATGTTACCATAGTTGTAAGATAAATAGCTTTAATTTCAAACTCGAGAATGTAGTGGATTTAGATGTGTTTTAAACAATGAAAAATTTGTGCTAGTGAAATTTATAGAATCTATCGCTTGCTGTTGTATATTTGTGTAATAAATTAATAATTATGTTTGAAATGCTTTTGTATTTCTTGTGTTTTATTATTTGACTAGCTGTGCTGGCCACCGACCGCACTAAAAAGTTGCATAAATTCCGCAAGCGTACTCGCGCAATGAACTATTGGAAGGTTTGTTCACGTGATTCTTTTTTCCCGCGGGCTATAGCGGTATCCGTTTGGAACCGATAGAGCTATCCAGTATAAATAAAGTCAGTTTAGTTTAGGTTTCCCCCTGTAGTAACACTGGATCAATAAGAGATGATCCTTACTAGACTTCTAGGGAGAACAGTTTAGAACTGATAGAGCTATCTAGTACAGATAAAGTTAGTTTAGTTTAGGTTTTCTCCTGTAGTAACACTAGATTAATAAGAGATGACTCTTACTGGACCTTTAGGGAAAACAATTTAGAACTGACAGAGCTATCCTGTATAAATAAAGTTAGTTTAGTTTAGATTTTCTCCTGTAGTAACACTGGATCAGTAAGAGATGGTCCTTACTGGATCTCTAGAGAGAACAGCTAAAAGTTGATTTAGTTTCAGTTCTTGAGAAGATGTCATGTATATCAACATAATCAATCCTCAAGTGTTGGCTCATCCAACATGGATGACCACGGTTAAACTTTTATAGACGATCGTAAACTCTCCGCATTCCGTAGGCAAACTCTCCGCGTCTCCGCGTTCATATAGCGGTCTTCCTGAACGATGTAAAATAGCCATTGAACGTCGCTTCCCGTGACGTCACAACTGTTGAGACTGTCTGTTTAGTTATGGCCGAGTGATTTACAAATATAATTTTTATCGAAATGAAATCCAAAATAGTCGTCTTTATTGTTTCGTTTTGGACGATCTATCTGCTAATCGATAAAGGTAACACTTTTAACTTTTATATTAACTGTAAAACTATCACCTAACTGGATTTATTTTGCACAAAAAAGCGATTTCTGCAAAGGCATTTGAACTCTGTTATGTCGTTCTCGCGTGGTAAATAGTCATTACCAGAATACTTGCTACTTTGTGTACAAAATTGTGAAGTTTTTCAACGTTCTTTTGTGTTGTGTTACTCGTGAGTACATCCAATATTTATGTTAGTTTTTGTTTTGACTTGAAAATGGATGCAAGTCTTTGCATTTTGTCATTTTATGAGTTGAAATTATATCTTTGCGGGATATTTGGCGAGCGTATGCCATGTTCGAAGCCATTACGTCTCCAGTTTGACAGGAAAATAAATCTGTGGTATTTTGTGTTGATTTTAGCCACGAACCTGCTAGATTTTGCCGTAAATAACACATTTTAAACTCTATTATAACAATAGTGAGCCTGTTTATAGTTTAAACAAAATGCAATCGATAAAATTTATACCATATCTTGATATTATTGTTTTGAAATACAAAGCGGCTTTGGTCTAAAAACATCATTGTAATTCAAAATTCAACGCTATTTTATGTCTAGCTTTTCAGATCTTTATAAAACGAGCAACTATTTGGTAAGAACTTCACAGGATCTAGCTTAAAAGACACTTCTAGTTAACCCCAGTTTGCATCGGGTTTAATATAAATTTGAGACAAAATGTTCCTATACATAGACTGCAATTATGTTTTATTTATATAAATGCACTTAGAATTTGCCGATATTTTGTAGTTTCCTGACGTCCTTTAGCTAAAACGATATTAAATGGTTCATGACTTACTAAATCAGGCATTTGTACAGTGTAGAAATGTTTCATATTTTGTTAGACCTTTTATATCTGTTTATATATTAAACTTCACAATTTTCTAAATATATGTCTGCTTTTAACAAAGGGTTGATTAAGGGCAGCATCAAGACTCGGCATCTAATTCAAAGTGTAATTAATTAAACTTCTTGATGGATAAGTTGTCTGATGCTTTGTATTTTTGGCCGAGAATATTGTACATAAACCACACTTATGCCAAGCCCTTGTGATATACTGTAACACTAGCCCAATTTAAATGAGAGATGCGCTACCTGTCTGGACGAGTTAGAGGGCTCTGTTAGGGTCGGCATACACGTCATTTTTCTGTTTTTCAAAACAAGAAATTTCACCGCTTGATAATGTTGCCATAACGCTTTTGGACCTTGTTATGTCACAGTACTGCCACTCAATGGGTTTATCAGACTATCTGCCCATGCACCCTGTTAACCCTTTAAGTGGCAATATTATTTTACTCTGTCTAATGCCAGATGATTTTACTTGTCAGAGGGAGAGTACTCCAACTCAATGGGTTAATCAAATTATTTGCCCATGCACCCTGTTAACCCTTTAAGTGGCAAATGTGCCCAGATGCACCCTACTTTATTATTTTACTCTGTCTAATGCCAGAAGATTTTACTTGTCAGAGGGAGAGTGCTGACACACTCAATGGGTTAATTATTATTTTTAGGTGAATGTGCAAAACTAAAGTGTATTTGTTCAAAAACATACTGCCCAGAAAATCATGTAAACTTTACATGTGAGACAGATGGAAATTGCTTCAGTCAGATAAAAATTGACGAATACACAGAGGAAATTAGAAAAATTTATGGTTGTCTGCCGAAAGAACCCAGTGGACCTCTTTCGATATTTCATTGCCAGCGAGGTGTACGCAAACTGGAAGAGGAGAATTCTGTGTCGTGCTGTTACGATAGAGATTTTTGTAACGAAGATTTGAAGCCAACGCTGAGACCGATGCAGGAGCGACCGAGTGAGTGAGAGATGACCCAGGCAGATCTTTTACAGAGAAGCAGTGGATTTATAGCGATTCGACGACCTAAAAAATACAAGTAAAACTTCTGTGTTTTGAGGGAAGGCTTTCATCGGGAAATTAGTTCCACTAACAAAGGGTCTTCACTCGAAACATTGAGGTTTCACTTGTATTTTTTAGGCAGCTGAATCCATGTCAATCTGCAGCTTTTTGGTGTGACTACCTACATTTTTGTTAAAAGTTGAAATTGACTGTAAAACAATTACTCTTATTCTTTATAGGTCCAGCACTGGCACCAAAAACTAGCATTGTAGTCATTGCCTTGGCTATCTCTGTGTCCGTCTGTTTTCTTGTCTTCATTGCTGTTATCTTATGGTGGTGTTGCCGGTATGATAAAACATTTGAAAAGAGTTGCACTACATAACTTTTGCCTAAAACTGTGCATGCAGCCTGTACTGTACTTACAACTTGAGTTGTACTGTATAAATCAAGCACACAACTCGCTTACGATGTCATACACGAGTTGTGTGCTTGATTTACACAGTACAACTCAAGTTGTAAGCAGGTTGCATGCGACAGTTTTCGGCAAGTGTAAATCAGCCTTTACGGAAATTGCACCCCTTGTTTTAGATCAAGTTTCAAGTGGTACCAGCAGATCAAATGTGCTGAAGATTTGTTTTGTTTTAGGCAAGCAAATTATGAAACATATCGACAAATTAAGATCAAAGGACGGCATATTGTTTCACACCAACAGACTGTACATCAACTGTTCAATGAAAGTGGAGGCAGCGATTTTGGCTTGCCAAAACTGGTAAGAAGTATTTCGGGTAGTTTACCACAATGACAGCTTATTGTAGAATACTACCTACACTGGACCACCACGTTTGAGATATCTTTTTCAGGTAGTTCAGACACAAACCATGACAGCTTATTGTAGAATACTACCTGATATCTTTTGCAGATAGTTCAGACACAAACCACGACAGCTTATTGCCGTTATTGTAGAATAAAAAGTTGAAAAAATGATGTGTATGCCTACACTGGACACATCCAATTGTACATACAGTACAAGAATACTATACCAACACTGGACCACCACGTTTGAGGTATCTTTTTCAGGTAGTTCAGACACAAACCATGACAGCTTATTATAGAATACTACCTACACTGGACCACCACGTTTGAGATATCTTTTTCAGGTAGTTCAGACACAAACCATGACAGCTTATTGTAGAATACTACCTACACTGGACCACCACGTTTGAGATATCTTTTTCAGGTAGTTCAGACACAAACCATGACAGCTTATTGTAGAATACTACCTGATATCTTTTGCAGATAGTTCAGACACAAACCACGACAGCTTATTGAGTTATTGTAGAATAAAAAGTTGAAAAAATGATGTGTATGCCTACACTGGACACATCCAATTGTACATACAGTACAAAACACAAATATTTGTTTAACATTCACAGTATATAACCATATCAATTTATAGATTCAACGCACAATTGCGAGAGAAGTTCAAATGACAAAACTTATTGGTACTGGTCAATTCAGTCGAGTGTACGAAGCTCTGTGGCGCAACGACAAAGTTGCAGTACGCTTATACCAATCCCGGGACGAGTTTGTTTGGCTTCAAGAATGTGGGTTTTATGAAAATATGCAAAGACATAACAATATCTTGGCTTTTATTGCATCAGATCGACTCGGAGCGCCCTCAGAAACCGAACTGTACTTGATCACAGAGTATTGTCCACATGGCTCGCTGTTTGAGTACCTTCGATCTCAGCATAGCCTGACCAAGAAGGATATGTTACGGTGCTCAAGCTCAATTGCCTCGGGCTTGACTTATTTACATACTCAGGTCACAGGCACATATAGAAGAGGTGCTATTGCACATCGCAATTTGACATCTAAAGGAATCTACGTGAAAAAGGGCGGAGTTTGTGCCATCGGACATTTTGCCCTCGCATTAAAATCTACTTCAGAATTCACCGAAAAAGATGCAGAAAAAAGCCCCAAGCAGCCAACAAAACGATACTTTGCACCGGAGCTTTTGGATCGGAGTTTGGTTCCCGGTAATTGTGCACATTCTGGTCTGTTGAAGGCGGATGTTTATTCGCTCGGTTTGGTTCTCTGGGAGATTGCGTTTACAACAGAATCTGAGGGTAGGTTAAAGGATCGTTGAATTTCATGCAACTGTTAGTTTAGTTTAGGTTTCCTTCTGTAGTGACACTGGTTCAATAAGAGATGGCCCTTGCTTCACCTCCGCGAAGAATAGCTTAGAATTGATAGAACTAATCAGTATAAATACAGTAAGTTTAGGTTTCTTTCTGTGAACATTGGACTAACGTTACACAGTCTTCACATTATTTGAAGGTATTCAAGAACCAAGTCAACTGCCTTACCAGGACATGGTCAGTTCCAACCCAAGTATTGAAGAATTGCGTAAGGTTGTGTGTGTCGATCAAAAGAGACCACCGATTTTAAATCGATGGTATCGAGATGAAGTAAGTCTTTATTACATGTCTTTAATCTAAAGTGGTAGTCCACACTCAAGAACATGTACTACCTCTGCATGATCTAACCATGCTTAACTCAGCAGTGAATTTTGTACAACATCAGGTCACTTTAAGGTAGCTCACATTCAAGAACATGTACTACATCTGTATGATCTAACCATGCTTTACTCAGCAGTGAGTTCTGTACAACATCAGATCATTTTAAGGTAGCTCACATTCAAGAACATGTACTACCTCTGCATGATCTAAACATGCTTAACTCAGCAGTAAGTTCTGTACAGCATCAGATCATTTTAATATAGCTGACATTCAAGAACATGTACTACTTCTGCATGATCTAAACATGCTTAACTCAGCAGTAAGTTTTGTACAACATTAGATCATTTTAAGGTAGCTCACATTCAAGAACACGTACTACCTCTGCATGATCGAACCATGCTTACAGTAACTCAGCAGTATTAAAGTTATGTACAACATCAGATCATTTTAAGGTATCTCACATTAAAGAACATGTACTACCTCTGCATGATCTAACCATGCTTCTATCCCAGGTAATGAAGCGAACAAGTCGTGTAATCGAGGAATGTTGGCACGAGAGTCCCGACGCTCGACTGACGGCATTGCGTGTACAGAAAACATTGACAAAAGTCGAGGAATTATTGACAGACGAGAGCAGCATACAGGTTTGTTGGCTTGTTCATAACTTTGCAATTGTGCTTCGAAATTTCCTCGTTACCGTAATGAATAATTCTAAAGCCTAGTATACATTGTTAAAGTTTACTTTAAACAAAGTGCAGTATTGTGCACCAGTTGTTGGAGTCTGCGGCAAACCTTTTCAGGGATACATGCGATAAAATATTAAAAGATAAATTGCAAATATTACAAAATCGTGCGGCTAGGGTTATCACTGGAGCAAGATATGATGATAGGATTAGATCAAGTGATCTTTTGGAAGGTTTAGGATGGGATAATCTACATGTTAGGCGGGCTAAGTTGAAGAGTATCCTAATATATAAAATCCTTAATGAAAATTGTTCGCCATGTTTAAGAGAAAGCCTTGTAAGACTTAGTGAACTTAATAGACGCCATAATTTACGAAATCAGGAAACGGATCTAGCACTTCCAAAACCAAAAACTAATTTTTTGAAGAGAAGCTTTAAATATAGCGCATCAATGCTGTGGAATAATCTTCCATTAGATGCAAAAAGAGCGACTTCGCTCAGTCAATTTAAGCGTGGCATTGCGGAGCTGTCCTTTTAGAACCATGTTGACTTAATTATAGTTAACTCTCTTTATTTACTTTACTTGACTTTATTTTTCTCAATTTGTTGTTGGGGGGCGGAGGTTGGTGGGTTCATATAATATTCCATATATTCTACTGTTTTATATATCACGCCCCTCCTGTAAATCAGCTTTTAGTTGTGCGAGGCTAGCGTATTTTGATTTTAAATAAAATTGATTGATGATGATGATGATGAGCTCTTGTGGTGTCGTGATCATCACGCTTGCCTTTCAAGCCAGGAGACCTGGGGTCAATCCTTGGTCGGACCTCTACTCAAGGTCTTAAAATAATTGAGGAGAAAGAGCTATCTTTACATTGACATCAGTAAATGGTTAGACTTTCGCGTCTTCTCGGATAAGGACGTTAAATCGTTGATACCTCGGATCCCCTATCAACTGGGTAATAGCCAAGGGTGGGTAGTAGCGAAGTAGTTGTAGTTCGCTACTGTAGCAAACTACAATTTTCAAGTAGCCAGTAGTTTTTGACTACTTTTTTAAAACAGTAGCTGTAGTTCTAGCGAACTACATTTTGCGTAAAACTAGCCAAGTAGTTGACTACTTTTCAAACAGCGAATCGCTATTCGCTACTTTTTAAAATTGTTAGCAACTTGATAGAATAGCATGATATTGAGACATGGTTTGCTTAAAATCAATACTCAATAGTCAATTTGCACTCTTGAACACTGTAGTGCTTACAAAAAACGTTGCTTTGTGTTTACTGTTGCTACTCGTAAATCGATTTTTGTTATAGATTACATTTCAGCCTGAGTTAGTAGATGCTCCAAATACAGTAAAACTAAAAAATATGGCGTAGCGAAATAGTTCGCTACATTTTTAAGCAGTAGCTGTAGCCAGTAGCGAACTACCTTTGTTCAAAAGTAGCAGTAGTTGTAGCTGATTACATATTTTTGAAGTAGCTGTAGTTATAGCGAACTACAAAAATGTTGTAGTCAACCCACCCTTCGCAATAGAAAAACTCCACAAACAGGAATTCCATAAACTCAAACTCAATACTATATAGCTTCTGTCCTGTGTGATTACTGTGATATGCCTAAAATTGACTTTCCATTTCGTGTTTCATTTTAGGTTGTATAAACACGGAGCAAAACGTGTATATGTATTACTCCGTCCCAGGCATGTATAGACTGAGTGGAATCGTTGATTCGTTGTATGTAGAAGAGGATGAAAGCCTCATTTAAAGTTGTGTGCAAATTCAGTTGTCAAACCTACGGTTCACAAACAGTTCATGAGCAGAACACCGCAGCCCTTTTTTAACCAGGCACTGCTTAACTATGGGTGGACCATTAGAAAGTGATAGGGGTCGTACAAAAGAAAAAACGAGCAAGTTGGGAAAGCGAAGAAAAATACCTTTAAAATTCTGCAAAACATTTCAGCACAAGTAGACAACCAAAATGAAGTTCGTGCAAGCCGAACCCCCCCCCCCCCCCCCCTCATCACTTCTTTAGTGGTCCGCCCCTAACCGGATACAATGCGTCCGTTCAATAGAGTTCAACTAGGACATTGTAAAAACATCTATAATTCAAATGCTCGTTCAAGCATTGACGTTTTACCTAAGAGTAGACAATAGACTGAATAGCGAGGTTCAGATTTGACTACCTCTCACTGGCTTGGGAAGCATCTGATTGGTTCATTGGATATATCAAGCGCATCTGATTGGTTAATTGAATATACCAAAACGCATCTGATTGGTTAATCGGATATATCAAACGCATCTGATTGGTTAATCAGATATATCAAACGCATCTGATTGGTTAATCGGATATATCAAACGCATCTGATTGGTTAATAGTCAAATCTGAACCTCTAGTGTTTTAAGACCCATTTCCACTGAGGAAAAGTTTCCGTAGAAAGAAAATTTTGTAAAATATGATTGCCCAACACAAATTTCAGTAGGAAAAAAATAGTTTGAAGTTGAAAATTTTCAACTTTTAACAATGATATTTTCGGACAATTTTCTGTCCGTGTAAAATTTTCTTGAGTGGAAATGGACTTTTATCGCGACTGTTTATCCGTTGACGCAAGCGAGAGTATTTGAGTTAGGTTTTAAATATTTGTAAAATAAAACACCGCCATGTGAACGAAATGCATGGGTGATATAAACAAGAAAATCATATATCATATAATATGTCAACATATTTTTATATTCTGTAATATTACAAAGATAATATCCATGCTGTACCGAATAATATTAACGTTGTTTGAGAATGATATTAAATATTGTCAAGTTGTGTTGGTATTTGCTTGCATTGGAACAGCTTCCTCTACCAAACACCGCAGGTTTAAATCTCCTGTAGTAACACTGAATCAATAAGAGATGATCCTTACTGGACCTCTAGGGAGAACACTTACAGTGTAGAACTGATAGAGCTATCCAGTGTAAATAAAGTTAGTTTAGTTTACAGTAGTTTCCTCCTGTAGTAACACTGGATCAATAAGAGATGATCCATAGAACAGTTTAGAACTGATATAGCTATCCAGTATAAATAGAGCTAGTTTAGTTTATAGTTTCCTCCTGTAGTAACACTGGATCAATAAGAGATGATCCATAGAACAGTTTAGAACTGATATAGCTATCCAGTATAAATAGAGCTAGTTTAACCCATTAATTAAGCTTCAAATATTCCCGACTTTGTCATGTTGCTCTGGCTATCATACTTGACCTCTAGGAAGAACAGTTTAGAACTGATATAGCTATCCAGTATAAATAGAGCTAGTTTAACCCATTAATTAAGCTTCAAATATTCCCGACTTTGTCATGTTGCTCTGGCTATCAGCAGATGATTTTACTCGTCAAGGGAAAGCCTTGCGCATTTAATGGTTAATATTTTAGTTTAGTTTAGTTTAGTTTAGGTTTCCTCCTGTAGTAACACTGAATCAATAAGAGATGATCCTTACTGGACCTCTAGGGAGAACACTTACAGTGTAGAACTGATAGAGCTATCCAGTGTAAATAAAGTTAGTTTAGTTTACAGTAGTTTCCTCCTGTAGTAACACTGGATCAATAAGAGATGATCCATAGAACAGTTTAGAACTGATATAGCTATCCAGTATAAATAGAGCTAGTTTAACCCATTAATTAAGCTTCAAATATTCCCGACTTTGTCATGTTGCTCTGGCTATCAGCAGATGATTTTACTCGTCAAGGGAAAGCCTTGCGCATTTAATGGTTAATATTCCGGAAATACGTCATCGTATATGGGAGACATCTTGGAATTTGCTTCCTTTGCAAAACACTACGAAGAAAAACCCCATTGAGAGTTTTCTGGAGCAATATTCGGCTGTTTTGAATCGTTACATCTGCTTTTGAAGTTGCTTGACAATAAAAGAAGTTACCAAGACATGGATGACAGTCATCGCAAGCTTTTACGAGAGAAGAGAATGGATTTAGCTCGCGATTTAGATGTTGACACGGCCACTTCGTTTCTATATTCCAAAAGCATTTTGTCGGAAAACGACCGTGACGAGATTCTGGCCTTAAAAACACCACAGGCGAAAAGCGAGAAATTGTTAGATTTTCTACCGAAACGGGGACCAGAAGCTTTTGGTGCTTTCGTGCAGTTTTTAGACGAAAAACAACCGTTTTTGAGTGGATTTTTGAAACCTAGTCATGCGAGCTCACAAGGTGTGTTTTGTTGTCATTGGTATTTTGTAAAATTAAGACATAGTTGTTGCATGATTTGTTAATTATATCGTGTGTTAATGTGTATTCTTTTAGTATATATCAGTTACTGTGTATTAATAATGGATTTAAATTAGTACGGTACATATTCTGTTTAGATACGCTACTATAATTTCGCAGTTTGTTTTTGAGATATTAATGTTTTGATAATGTAATATGATCAATAATAATTGCATAAGAGAAATACCACCCCGCCTCCTGGTGGGTAGAATAATTAATGATCTCTGAAAATTGCACAATTTAGGCAGTTTTTGTCATCTGACAAAACTGTATTTGGGGCACAAAATTGGCAAGCAACCGTACGTTGCCAAGGGAACTCGAGGAGGCAAACATCACCAATATTTAAGCCCTGGGCAAACTAGGAAACGTTGCCGAAACATTGTTTCCTGCCAATGTTTCGCCATGTTTCCCAGAGTGGGCAAACACTAGGAAACATTAGTGAGAAATAGAGGGAAACATCAAATGTTTCTGAATTTGCTAGGAAGCATTTTCGCTTCTCGGGAAGCAAATTTGTTTCCGCGACAATGTTTCCATGGGTGGGCAAACAGGGAAACATTTTCCGCAACAATGTTTCCTAGTTTGCCCAGGGCTTTAGGCTGTATGAATGAAATTAGATGTTTGGTGTGGTTTAGAAAATTGTTTAATATCAAAGCATGAAATATTCCTCAGGACTAGGAATGCTAAAATTTTACTTTGAAAATGTCGGCACAGAATAAAGATAAAGAGAAGGTCGACTCGGCAATAAAGCATAACGCTGCCACGTCATGATTTGTCATCAAAATGCTGATATTGTGGCGTCAGCATTTTGATGATGAATTACGGTTACGGCAAAATCATAGGAAAAACCAAGAAGTTGATCTTCTGTATCGTCTCTATTCTGTGATGTCGGGCAGGTATTGACTTCAGCCTTTCATAATCATTGAAGAGTTCAGAATTAAATGGCTAACGTCCCAACGAAGAGCCTTTGCTCGAAACATCGAAGTTCTCCTTGTATTTTTCAGGTAGTTGTATCCCTATCAATCCAAAATTTCCTGTGATTGATATTAAATTGACTTGATTTATGGATTAAGTTGCAGAAAACATCAAATGACCTTAGTAATGGGAATCCCCTTTGGGAAAACCCCTTTAAGTAGATGAAGGTGCACCCCCTGTGAGATTAACCTAAAACCAGTGAGCTCAATATATATATAGAGAGAGAGCTAGGACTTCAGTGATTTGGCCTGTGAGAGAAGTGAAGCCAAAATCTGTCAAGATTGTAAATTGTTTTACCCAGCTAATACCATCTTTCTTTCTGATTGTATCACTAAATTATTATTATTGCCATTCGTTCTGCCACCGCAAGCAGGGCTGTGCCTTTATTATTTACCTTCAATAACATATCTGTTTATAAAAAACATGATTAACAAATCCCGGAGATAACAGTTCAGTTCATAATCTAAACAAAAAATATATATAACTCAAAAACCTTAGTATCCACCAATCTGAGAGGGTTGGTGGGTAACTGCATACGATGTGCAAAAAACTAAAAGATGCCAAAGTCACTTATCATGTGACTTTATACAACTCGTGTGACCTAGCACAGGGCACCCCAGTATGAGAAACCTGTTTCTCGCTTATTTCGTAAACTCAGACAGCGAGAAACTCAAAAGTTATCTATTCATAAAACTATAATATTTAACAATTACTTGCCCAAGGCGAGGTGATTATTGGGGAATATTCGCCGAGATGAAGTCGAGGTGAATATTCCCCGATAATCACCGAGCCTGAGGCTAATAATTGTTTTAGTATTTTTACACAAGTCTTTTGTGTTTTTGAGACTGAATATATATTTTAATTTCGCTTATTTCTTTATCAGTAACTTTCACAAAACAGCTAGCCGCCATTTTGAAAATTTCGGTTTTGTTATATTCGCCTGTAGGTGATACTACTTGTAAATAACTATTCCGCTATTTCTACTATCTAATTTGGACTACTTGTTACTATTTCTCGTTTTTGTAAACAACTATTCTGCTATTTCTACTATCTAATTTGTACTACTTATTACTATTTCTCATATTTGTAAATACCTAACTGTAAATCTTCTTTTACACGCCCCCTGTGGAAATCAGCTTCGGTTGACAGGGTTAGCGTGGGTAAATAAAGTTTTTCTATCTATCTTTTCTATCTAATATAACAGCTTAATACATCAAATTTGACCAATCATTGTGTAGGATTTGTTATGTTCACTTGTGCAAAAATACTAATGTTCGTTAACTCGGAGTCAAAATTGTGTTCGCCGTGCAGACACAAAACAATAAAATTAATTGCCCCTTGATGTCAATTTCTGCCATATTTTGCTTCATGTTTTGAACGAGAGTTCCTTGGACTTGAGATATATTTATATGGAAGTCACTGGCCTAAATCCACCCTTGTATAATTGATTAATCAAGTTTCATTAACGTAATTTTTAGAAAGGAAACAGCCGGTTGACAATTTGGATGCTCCTTCACGTCCAGTGCCCGATAAGAAACCAGCTTCTGAATCTAGTGATGATTTGAAACCTCAAGAAACCAGTGACACCTCATCGGCTTTGAAAACTGGTACAGCAGAAACTGAAGAGGATGGCGCTGATTCAAAGAAACCAAAAGAGGAAGGTGGGTTGTAGTATATCATACACTCTAAAAACACTCTGGTTAAATTCAACCAGGAACTGGATCAATAAACTACCTAGCACATTCCTGGTTAAATTAACTGATTTCCTGGTTAAAAATTATTGATTCAACAAAAATCTGGCCATACTTCTTCGGACTTTTAACCAGGAAAATGGTATAATTTTTTTAACCAGGATTGTGTAGGTGTATTTTTAACCCCCATCCTGGTTGAATTAACCCAAATTTAACCAGAGTGTTTTTAGAGTGTACATGAGAAGAACTGCCCTGGTTGCCAGAGGTTCTCGTATATTTTTTTCTATTATTCATTAAAGAAAATAAAAAGAATACGCAACTACAAATCTACAATACGCGATATATAGAGCTTTGCAAACTCCGGTTATTTTAGCTCCGGGTTTTGCTATTTGAAAAGGGAGTTTTGCTATTTGAAAGGAAAGTTTTGCTATTTGAAAAGAAATTTTTGCTATTTGAAAAGAAAGTTTTGCTATTTTGAAAAGGGTGTTTTGCTATTTGAAAAGGGGTTTTGCTATTTGAAAAGGGAGTTTTGCTATTTGAAAAGGGTGTTTTGCTATTTGAAAACGGAGTTTTGCTATTTGAAAAGGGTGTTTTGCTATTTGAAAAGGGTGTTTTGCTATTTGAAAAGCGGAGTTTTGCTATTTGAAAAGGCAGTTTTGCTATTTGAAAAGGGAGTTTTGCTGTTTGAAAAGGGAGTTTTGCTATTTGAAAAGGGAGTTTTGCTATTTGAAAAGGGAGTTTTGCTATTTGAAAAGGGTGTTTTGCTATTTGAAAAGGGTGTTTTGCTATTTGAAAAGGGTGTTTTGCTATTTGAAAAGGCAGTTTTGCTATTTGAAAAGGGAGTTTTGCTGTTTGAAAAGGGAGTTTTGTTATTTAAAACGGGAGTTTTTTTTATTTGAAAAGGGAGTTTTTCTATTTGAAAAGGGTGTTTTGCTATTTGAAAAGGGTGTTTTGCTATTTGAAAAGGGTGTTTTGCTATTTGAAAAGGCAGTTTTGCTATTTGAAAAGGGAGTTTTGCTGTTTGAAAAGGGAGTTTTGTTATTTAAAACGGGAGTTTTTTTTTATTTGAAAAGGGAGTTTTTCTATTTGAAAAGGGAGTTTTGCTATTTGAAAACGGAGTTTTGGTATTTCAAACAACCAACTCCAACGTTTCTTAGTGCCATCAATGCAATCATGTTTCATGCCAAGACATCTCAGACACATGATATACCAACTAAATTACGGTATTGAATACCTTGGACTTGGAAAGGTCATGTGCTACCAGCAAAAAATAAGTACGCAGATAGCAAGAGTTCCGCGTACCTACGTGGTACGTGACTGAAAACAAAGAAGTACCAGACAGTAATATTGGCGTACCTCCGGTACGTAAGTACGCAAATTATCGCACCCTGCATATTCCTTTAAGAAGATAAAGTAGCATTCTCATACTGTACATAAAGTTAAGCTTGCTCTGTTTTATATTTTTGTTTCTAGGTAGTATAGATGAAGGTGATGGTAGCACAAACTCTCGTCTTACTCTGAAACACTCCACGTACAAAGATGGCATTACTCCTGACTTCATGTACCCCATGTCCCGTCGCCCTCGTGGTCATGCCTTTATCATCAACAACAAAAACTTTCTTTACTCCTCTGGCATGCAAAAATACCCTCGTAACGGCACGGATGTCGACGCAGAAGCCCTACACAAGTTGTTTAATGCTTTGGAATTTGAAACTGTAGTTTATCATAATAAAACCTCAAAAGATATGATGAATATATTTGATCACTATGCTGCAATGGACCACACTAATTATGACTGCATTATTTGTGTTATTTTGACCCATGGTGAGGAAGGGTTGATATATAGCACTGATGGCCAGATTAAGCTTAAGGAGTTAACAACAAAGTTTCGATGCGAAAACCTTCATGGTAAACCCAAGTTGTTCTTCTTTCAAGCATGTCAGGGTAAGTGTGTTTGTCAGTTGTTGTTGTTGTTGTTGTTGTTGTTGTTGTTGTTGTTGTTGTTGTTGTTGTTGTTGTTGTTGTTGTTGTTGTTGTTGTTGTTGTTGTTGTTGTTGTTGTTGTTGTTGTTGTAGTAGTTGTTGTTGTTGTTGTAGTTGTTGTTGTTGTTGTTGTTGTTGTTGTTTGTTGCTGTTGTTGTTGTTGTTGTTGTTGTTGTTGTTGTTGTTGTTGTTGTTGTTGTTGTTGTTGTTGTTGTTGTTGTTGTTGTTGTTGTTGTTGTTGTTGTTGTTGTTGTCAGAAGTACTTCGAGGCTAGTGGAGTCCTTTGGCAGAATGTTAATAATGAGAAAGGGCCTTCACTTGAAATGGCAAACTTTTTAGTCATTTTCAGGTAGTTCAAGAACAAACCACGACAGCTTATTGTAGAATACTACCTACACTGGACCACCACGTTTGAGATATCTTTTTCAGGCAGTTCAGACACAAACCACGACAGTTTATTGTAGAATACTGCTTACACTAGACCACCACGTTTGAGATATCTTTTTCAGGTAGTTGAGACACAAACCACGACAGTTTATTGTAGAATACTACCTACACTGGACTACCACGTGTGAGATATCTTTTTCAGGTAGTTGAGACACAAACCACGACAGTTTATTGTAGAATACTACCTACACTGGACAACCACGTTTGAGATATCTTTTTCAGGTAGTTGAGACACAAACCACGACAGTTTATTGTAGAATACTACCTCCACTGGACCACCACGTTTGAGATATCTTTTTCAGGTAGTTCAGACACAAACCACGACAGCTTATTGTAGAATACTACCTACACTGGACCACCACGTTTGAGAGATCTTTTTCAGGTAGTTCAAACACAAACCACGACAGTTTATTGTAGAATACTACCTACACTGGACCACCACGTTTGAGAGATTTTTTTCAGGTAGTTCAGACACAAACCACGACAGCTTATTGTAGAATACTACCTAGACTGGACCACCACGTTTGAGATATCTTTTTCAGGTAGTTCAGACACAAACCACGACAGTTTATTGTAGAATACTACCTAGACTGGACCACCACGTTTGAGATATCTTTTTCAGATAATTCAGACACAAACCACGACAGTTTATTGTAGAATACTACCTACACTGGACCACCACGTTTGAGATATCTTTTTCAGATAATTCAGACACAAACCACGACAGTTTATTGTAGAATACTACCTAGACTGGACCACCACGTTTGAGATTTCTTTTTCAGATAATTCAGACATAAACCACGACAGCTTATTGTAGAATACTACCTACACTGGACCACCACGTTTGAGATATCTTTTTCAGATAATTCAGACACAAACCACGACAGTTTATTGTAGAATACTACCTACACTGGACCACCACGTTTGAGATATCTTTTTCAGATAATTCAGACACAAACCACGACAGCTTATTGTAGAATACTACCTACACTGGACCACCACGTTTGAGATATCTTTTTCAGATAATTCAGACACAAACCACGAC